AAAAAAATTTTGTAGTTGCTGAGGAAGTCCCCAGTAAGGGACGAAACGTTCAACAAGATCAAATAAATTTGTTCATCAAAATTTATTAACTGTCTTCAATTTTCCCTTTGAAACTCATATATATTAATATACTGTTGGGACAAGAATATTGATTATTAATTATTAAATTATTTTAAATTTATATTTGGAAAAGTATACATAAATATATGTAAAATGCTTGAAATAAATATATATTACATAAAAAAGACTTTAATAATTTACAAATTTAATCTTAGACGATATTATATTTTTTATATGCACTCATAGCAAATAAACATTTGTTATAGCGATATAAACGAGAACTTCCTATGAATTTACAGTACTGCACTGGAAATTTAATAGATCGGGCACAAAAAAAGAAAAATGTTCCACAATCAAAATCAGTTGTCTCTCCTGTTAAATATATATTATCAGTTACGGGCATAACTGGAGGAAAGCCAGGACAACAGAAAAGAAATTGTTTCCATCCAGGTGCATCTAGTTTAAACAGAGATGCAATGTCACTCAAAGAACATACATCAGTTAATTCCACAGATATGCTCAAGGCAATGCTCAAATATATCTGGCCAGAAGTAAGTTGAATAATTGAAAATATATATTCTTTGATTCTAATTATTGACTTTAATACTTATTTCTATAAATATTTAGGATGATCCAGAAATTAGAAAAAGAGTTAAAATAGCAGTTGGATTACTAATTGGTTCAAAAGTTTTAAACGTAACTGTTCCTTTTATTTTTAAATATGCTGTGGATAGTTTGAATCAGCATAGCATTGAAACCACTGGTAAAGCTATGTTGACGTTAGGAACTGCTCCTGAAACTATCACTACAGTTGCAACTTCACTACTTGTAGGATGTAAGAATCCTTTCCACATTTTTTTTTTATAAATATTAAAGATATAAATTTAAATAATTTTTATTATTTATAATAGATGGTATTGCTCGTGCTGGTGCAGCTGGTTTCAGTGAATTAAGAAATGCAGTATTTGCAAAAGTTGCTCAACACTCAATTAGAAAAATAGCCAAAAATGTATTTTTACATATGCACAACCTTGATTTAGCATTTCACCTGTCCAGACAAACTGGAGCTCTATCTAAGGTAAATCTACATTTCAAATATTTTTTATATCGTCCTATATTAATATTATAATTTGGTATGTCTAACATACAGGTAATAGATAGAGGAAGCCGTGGTATCAATTTTGTTCTCTCAGCCATGGTGTTCAATGTTGTGCCTACTATTTTCGAATTAGCTTTAGTTAGTACTATTTTGGGTTTAAAATGTGGATCTGAATATGCAAGTTTAGCATTTGGTTGCGTTGGTATTTACACTGTCTATACATTAGCAGTTACTCAATGGCGAACAAAATTTAGAGTATATATGAATCAAGCGGAAAATGAAGCAGGAAACAAAGCGATAGATTCACTCATTAATTATGAAACAGTAAAGGTAAATATTTCTAGTATCATTTTTATTTCTGCTTATTATTAAATGTACTTATAATATAAAATATATGTATATATATTGTTACAGTATTTCAATAATGAAAAGTTTGAAGCTGAAAGGTATGATCAATCATTAAAAAAGTATGAAGCAGCTTCGTTAAAAACGAGTACAAGTTTAGCTATGCTAAATTTTGGTCAAAATGCTATTTTTAGTACCGCTTTAAGTTTTATAATGATATTAGCAGCAAAGAATATTATGAATGGTAACATAAATCTGTTAGTTTTCTTATGTCCTTGTATTTACTGCATTTTAGACTAATATTTAACTGCTACAGTAGTGATTTTTAATAATCAATATATTGATATTTTTGTTTCTAGGAACTATGACTGTTGGAGATTTAGTGATGGTTAATGGCTTGTTGTTTCAATTATCAGTACCTTTAGGATTTTTAGGTTCTGTTTATCGAGAAGTAAGACAAGCTTTTATCGATATGCAGACAATGTTTACTTTGATGATAATGGACACTGATATTAAAGTACTTTTGAATTAATACTTATTAATTTTTTTTAAATTTTAATTGTCTTTTTCTAGTTATCGTACTTAAATATTAAAATATGTAATTATACGTTGGCAGACAAAAAAAAATGCTGTAAGGCTAAATGTTACACCAAACAATTCTGATATTCAATTTAAAAATATTAATTTTCAATATGTACAAGGTAAACCAATCTTTCAAGATGTATCTTTTCATATTCCAAGTGGAAAAAAAATTGCTATTGTAGGAGGATCTGGTTGTGGGTGAGATATAATATTTATACAATAAATATTTGTTATTTTTCTGAAAATTATGATATCTAATTGAATATATCGTTTTAGTAAGACTACAATAGTTAGACTACTTTATCGATTTTTTGATCCTCAAAATGGAAATATTTTTATTAATGGACAAAATATACAAGACGTTGACATTAATGATCTTAGAAGATCAATAGCCATAGTACCTCAGGTATGGTATAACTTAATATGAAAAAAAAAGAAGATTTATTCTAAATAATGTAAAGTATTCTAAGTAAAGTATTTTTATTAATGTCAGGATTCAGTACTTTTCCATGAAACAATTTTCTATAATCTTCACTATGGAAATTTACGTAAGTCAAAGGAAGAAGTTTATGAAGCTGCTAAAATGGCAAATCTACATGATGCAATTCTGAAATGGCCGCAAGGCTATGATACTCCTGTCGGAGAACGTGGTCTAAAATTGAGTGGAGGAGAAAAACAACGAGTGGCGATTGCTAGAGCAATCTTAAAAGACAGTCCTATATTAATTTTTGATGAAGCTACTTCTTCGTTGGATTCTATTACAGAACATGTTAGAAATTGTATAATTATTTCTAAAAATATAATAATATTTATTTTTATTTGAAATGTTTTATATATTTACAGAACATATTAGAAGCATTACGAAGAGCAACAAAAGGACGTACATCAATAATGATTGCACATCGTTTATCTACAGTCATGGATTCAGATGAAATATTTGTATTAGATAATGGCAAATTAGTAGAAAAAGGAACACATTCTTTTCTCATATCGAGCCCCAATTCTCTTTATAATAAATTATGGGAAACACAAAGTGTTGGCATGCAATCATCTTTGAATGAAACATATGAACGTACTAGAACTGGAGGAAGCAATTAATTAAAAACATGCAATGAATATAAAATATCAAATTTTTTCAAAAGATGAGATTTGTTTTTTCGTTTAATACGTTAAACGCTAAGCCTTATTTGTTGAATTTTCGGGGAGACTAGAGCGATATTCAAAGTTGTTAATACATGAATGTTAAATTGTGTATCTTGATACTCTTAAGAAAGTATAAAGCTACCAGTACCTCTATCTGATTTATTCAGTGAAACACGTGTATTAAGTGTACATATACTTAGCAAGAAAGATAATGTAAATACCATGTAGAATTGGCTGTGGAATAAAAAGTATTTATTTTATTTTTTATGTTTTTTTAGTTCTAAGTGTATATATTTTTACACCCAACATATTTAATGCATAAGAAAAGTTTTGAGCTTGACATTATTATCATATCCGATTACGTTATTGATTACGAAAATATTTATTCTACGTTACCTAGGTAACCAGTTAACATAACAATGAATGATAGTATATTACGTACACAGTTATGCACATTTCTAATAACTGGATTCTCTTTTGATACTGTGGGTAGTTGTTTTTAGAAAGATTAAAATGTCAATTTTAACGAATAATCAATTACTGCAAAATGCAAACTGAAGTGCCCACATTGCCTGAATTGCATCTGAATATTCATGAAAATGTGGATAGGTAAACTAATATTCCTTGCAGAGGGCAAAATCATACCATATTCAAGTGTCATAATAAATTGATATATGTACATTTCATTTCATTTTCATATTGATCTTTCATATCTATTTATAATTTGTATAGTTTTTTTTATATAAATATTTATATATATATATACATAATTTTCAGAAAACAAAATAACATAGAAGAAAGTAAAAACTATTCACTATGTAGGAGTACATGCCCATCGTCAAATAAAAAATGTTTGCATCCTTTGCTTGGTACGTTATATATTAAAAATATATCTCTACAGAAGCAACAATGAATAAAATATTTGGAACATTATAATTCTATAATTTATACAGGAGAATCATATAAAAAGAGCATGCGAGTCTGTTCTAACAGTACAGTATTAGCAAAATCTGCAAATAAAAATACTCTTGCTCAAAGAGTTGTATCTGCAAAAATGCTTCGTATTAAACAATTGCAAAATCAACTTGCTGATGCACATTATCATCTTAATGTAAGTGTATATGAATGTAAATTATATGATCATAATAACATAACATGGAGCAACAGAAGCAATCAAAAGATTAATAATCAACATAATATAGATATAATTTTATTTTTATTTTTGAGGAATTGGCTAACGAAAACAGGTTATTAAAAGCATTGCAGAAGAGGCAAGATTCTGCATTAAGGCGTTATGAAGGAACTACTGCTGAATTACCAAAAATTATTAATTCACATCATGAAGAGTTAAGAATACTTCAAATTAAACATAAAAAATTAAAAGCCTTACATAAGAAAAACTCTGATTTATTGAAAGAAAAGGAAAATGAATTGCATTCCTTGCAGGTGAGTTTCTTATCTTATGTGTACAAATTATTCATCCAATGATCATAAGAAAATATAAAAATCTTTTATTAAAAATTGTATTTTACAGACTCAAAATAAACATTTATTACGACTCAGTAAAGATCGAAACTTGGTAGAAAGAGAAAAATTACAGATGGAAATTTCTGATCTAAACAACAAAATAATGCAACAACAGGAAAATATACAGGTATAGTATATTATCACAGTATTAAATAATAAATATTCTTTTTTAAAAGACAAAAAATCTTGTTGATAATTGTTCTTTGTGTTGTAATTGCTTTAACAGATGTTACAAAGAAAATTAGCCTTGGAAAGTAAAAGTTTGAAACATCAATTATTTGTAGAAGTATCTAAGCACAAACAAACACAGAAAAGTTTACAAGAAGCACTTGAAAAAGTGAAAGATTTAGAACATTTAATAAGCAACAAAACAAGGAAACAATTACTAATTGATAAGAAAGATAAGATTTTGGTAACTCAATCACTTACAAATTTGAGGAATGTAAGGTATGATAAGATTTTCTTAAGAGATCATTTTTTTTCATTAATTTAATAAGTTTTATTATTTTGTATCTGCTAATTTATGAATTTCAGTACCACAAGTTCAGTGCAGTTAAATACAACCAACATATATAAAAAACATAATGACGGACAAAATGATAACTTGGTAAATGTAAATGAGAAAACATTATTTTTTATTTCTACAATTCGAAATATTCTTGATGTTTGATTATTGTGATTTTAATTTTTAGCCTACACTAAGTACATCTCAATTAAATGGTGATATAATTAATAACACTATTAGCGGTAAAAATGTAAATCAACAAACAGACTTGCCTTATTCAGAAACTATGATAGATTCGAGACACACTCATAAATTACATGTTCAAAAAAAGTCACACGATATGAAGTCTTCTTCATTTGATGAATTGATACCAAAGTTTAAAAATCCAGGATCAAAATTAAATAAAAAGGTTCGAATTGCATTAACTGATGAGAATGATGTGACAAATCAAATAGAATCAGAGAATAAGTGCAAAATAGATGAAAATTTATATGAAGTATCTAAAGAACAGCATGAACAATTTGATAAGTTTTCTGATTATACTAACAACGAACATGAAAATGATGAAGATAAAGATAGGAATTATCATTGGATGAATACAATAAAAAATTCTCAGGATTTGTATACACGGTTTGTTAGAAAATACAAGATATACATATTAATCGTTTAGTATAATATTTATTATATATAATTCAAACGCGATCTGTTTTTAGGATGATTAATAGCACAGATCGTGATCTAGTTTCTCATATAACAGACACTAAAGAAAGTGGATCTAATGTACAATTTTCTGCTAAAAAAATATCTTATAATAAAAGTCCTCAAAAACAGGATAAAATTTTAAAACAGCAAGATTATGATTATCGATATAACTTTGAAACAAATCAAGAACTTACTGAAGATAGCTTTACTGTTAAATTAAAAAATGATAAATTTGACAAAATATACTCTGATACTTATTCAGAAGATTTTACCACTAATGATACAACACACAACATTGATTTGTTACAAAACGATAATACTTATGAGTATTCAAACGATTCTAATAAAAATGTAGAAAATCTTTCAATAAAAAATACAATAAACGATCTTGAATATAATTTAGACCACATGCATATACAGGATGAAAAAACCCAATTGATTAATGATCATGAAATCTTAAATGATTTGAAATTGGACACCAAGCATACCTACGATGAAAATAAAACAACGACTTCTATGTCTTTGCAGCAAGATGAATCTGAAGGTATAGAAAAATATTCAACAGTTCTTTCGGAGCTTGATCAAGAAATAAAAGATTCAAAAATTGATAAAGATTATTCATTAATATGTGACAATATTAGTTATTCTATTGATAAGGTAAAAGATGAACTACAACAGAATAATTATGGTGATCAACATAAATCAACAAACTCCATATCGGAGTATGAAAGAACAATGCCTAATGGATTCAAAGTGGAGTCTACTAAAGAAATAAACAATGATGTTAATAATGCATTACAAATGAATAAGAAAAAGAAGTCGCTATCTAATACTCATATAGGTCACAGCACTGGTAAAAGTTATAGTAATTCCAATAAAGAAAGTGACTACAAAATAGTTGATAAGTCAAAATCAATTAATTACAATAAAGAAAAACTATTAGCAACGATGAAGGCAATTGATAATAACGAAGATATTGATTTTTTTATTGATCGGCATTTTCCAAAACGTAATTCTTTAAATAGATTTCAAATAACAGAAAACCTATTTCGTGGATTACCTGCTCACAGCAAGGAATCTATAATATTATAAATGATGTTTTTGATAATGTTAATGTGGATAATAAAATTAGCTTTACTTAAAATCTTGTTATATCAAGTATTGATATTACAAGTTTGACAAGTTTATTGAAGTCTTAAAACTATTGGATAATGTAGTAAGCTACTTAAATGATCAATATTATTAACAAGCTTACGATTACTAAAATTCCTTTATTTCATTAGTCTAACATACCTAAATATTAATTAAATTTAATCATGACATAAAATAAAATTTACTAGCAAACTTTATAGTAATTACGTTAAATTTTATTAAAGAAATATATCGTTAGCAATATCAATTAGTTTAACCATCAGATTGAGATTGTTGCATACGAAAATACAACTTTGAAATTGATCTAACAAATTCTAAGTTAGTTTCTAATAGAATTAATTTTAAAATAAATTAATGATTAAAATGTATATAAATGATACTTTTAATGAGAGAGGTTATGAAAGAAAATAATAAAATAAACTTCGAACATTTCTAAATGATAACTTTTACAGTAGTCTCCGTATGTAATTTCATAAAAGTAATACGAGTATTACAAATCATTCCATCAAAAAAGTCATTTAAATGCGCAATTACTTTTTAAAACTTATTATCTTCACACAAATGTAAAAGTGTTAGGACGTATTAACATGTGTACACTGATCTCTTTGTGATCATTCGAACCACTAACAACTTGCTTTTGTATATATACTGCATTTGTTTCCAAGAAAAATAATGAATGACTATTCTGGTATATATAATTTTATTTATATTTGTATACTTTACGATTTTAATTTAACTAAAATGCAAATAATCTTTAGACGAATATAATTTACAATTAAAAAGAATTATAAAATATAAATATATTTACATTTTTCTGTATATGAACTCAATAGAGATAAGTGCAAGGGATTTAAAGAAGCAAGAGAAATTCCTGTCAACTGGTTGCCCTAAAATAGACAAAATATTAAATGGTGGCATTGCTTGTCAAGGTATTACACAAATTTATGGCGCAGCTGGTACTGGAAAAACCCAATTAGCTCTTCAATTATGTCTAACTGTACAATTACCTTTAACTGCAGGTGGCTTTGCTGCTGGTAGTATTGATACTTTATCAGTATATTTGATATTTTTATCAACATTTATTTGAATAATTTCACTTTCTTTTATCGTCAATAACTGTATAGGTGCAATATATATTTGTACTGAAGCTACTTTCCCAGCAAAACGGATGCATGAATTTATTCAGAATTTAGATGCTATTAAAAACTATGACGGTATAAACGGTGACATCGTATTCGTGGAACACATCGCAACTATTGTAATAAAATATTATTTATTTATGAATACAAGTATATAACTTTGTTTAAAGATTCTAATATTTCTTATCTTTAATTCATTTTACTGGGATAATTATATAATGTACTTAGATGTAATTTTTAAAATTTAGGAAGACTTAGAGTCATCTTTGCTTCATAGAGTGCCAGTGTTATTAAATAAACAAAATATACGTCTGCTAATTATTGATTCTATAGCTGCTCCATATAGAGTGGAAGAATGGAATAATGAATCAAGAAACAGATCTAAAAGTTTAAGAACTGTGGGGCAACAATTACATAAATTATGTAAAAATAATGATATTTTTATAGTTTGTCTCAATCAGGTAACATCAGACTAAATACTGGTTATTATATATATCCATAAATATAATTTATATAAGTATACTTATGAAGAGTAATAATTTACAGGTATCGGCAGTTGTAGAAAATAAAAACAAATACTGTGACATTAAAGAACAACCTGCTTTAGGAATAACATGGTCAAGCATGATAACTAATTCTATATATTTATTTAAAAAAGACTCTATTCGTTATGCTTCTACTTTCTCACCTTACTTGCCACTCAAAACTGTACAATATGAGATACATACGTCTGGTTTTAAGGGAATAGAATAATATATATTATAGTAGAATTTTAATATATAATATCATATTTTAAATATTTTTTATTGCGCAAGTTCATGAATTTCAGAAAATATATTTTCATCTAATGTTCTAATAATATTTGTTGGTTGCCATTTATTTGCTGAATCAGCAGATATAAAAGGATCTGCTGTCCTTAAATCTAAGTTTTCCACATTATTTTTTAATATTAACCTTAAAAATTGTTATATTTATAAATAATTGTAATATTATTAGTATATTATATTTGAGGCTATAAGAGAAGTACCTGAAAGAATGTAGAAATGTTCTATGGGGCTCCACATCTTGTCTTCCACTATATGTATAATCACCTATTATTGTATGACCTATTGAGGCACAATGTACTCTCAACTGATGCCTTCTGCCAGTTTTAGGACATAATAATACTTTAGTAGCAGGTTTACATTTTCTAAAACCATATTCTAATACTAAAAGTACAGTACGAGACTTTCTTGGCTTTATACAATATAAGCTGTTACTTGTGCACATTTTTTTATTTCCATCTATTTCTCTTATATCATCACCTAAACAGCAATTTATTTAATAATTTCTACTATTCATTGCGTATGAATTTCAACTTTTAAGATCATATAAACAAACTATCATAACGCACAATTAATAAAAGCATTCATTTTAATTGAACCGATAAATATCTTTATAACATAAGACACTAACCAATAGGCTTGTCAATTATAATAAATGAATCATTTACATGACCGTGTAACAACGCTAAGTAGTATTTTTGTACTTCTTGTTTTTCAAATGCAATAGAAGCAGCACGTGCTGCACGCTTATTTAATGCTATACAAATAATGCCACTTGTAGCATAATCCAATCTGTGCACAAAATGAAATTCATGGCTTAACATTGGGTTAGCCAAATTTGGAAACATTTCTTTTAAAACAAACTGAAGCGTATTCTGAAATATTCAAACTTAGATAATTTTAGTTAAAATATAATTAACAAATCAGTAAATAAATGACTCAGGTGATTGGCTGTTATGAAAATTCTTTCTTTCAATTCTGCTTACCTTTCTTTCTGGACTATTACTATTTATAAACATATCATAAGGTTTATGAACAACTAAAAAATTATTGCTAGAATATAAAATGCATACGCTATTTTTCTTATCGTACCACTTGTAATATGGTATGCGCAATTCTAATAAATTTTTCCATATTATTTTTAGCAGACCAAGTGTAATGATTAACCATATGTTGAAAAACTTAAACATGTTAGTCCATTAGAACTAAAACAATTCTATAACGTGTAGATATTTTGTGAAAATGTCATCTCTACGAGAGACACATAATCCTTCGTATATATTTATATATACTTTAATTATTACTATGAAATAAAGTTCTTAGTTCAGTGACATTATTTTTATTTAACGTAGTTGATCGACTTCGAAGTCAAGCAATATCTAAATGTTGATTCTTATTGGTGGATTCTTTCGAGAATTATCGAAAATACTATACAATTTATTGAGCGTTTAATTATATTCACGCAATAATCAAATTCTGTTGTTTTTCGATTATTTAATAAAATAAAATTAATGGTATTATATTTATATATGTAGCATACAACGAAATATTAGAAAAAATAAAATAAAAAGAGAAAAAATAGAAGAAATGACGATCATACGAATAATTGATTACTATCTCTTACCGATGCGTAGCCATGACAGCAGCATATGCTTTATATTTTTACAAACTATAAACTTGTAATTCAAATAAAAGAAGTAATTTATACCTTGTCTATTTATTAATATAATAAAGTACCTTTAATCAACGTTTTAATTACGCGGAAATAACTATGCGAAAAGGGGACGGTAACTAAGAAATTAGACATTTAAATTTTATTTGTAGTAAATAATCCTTCCTTCAAACTGAAACATAAATAATAATAATACATGAAGTATATCATAGGCTATTATACAGTTGCTATTTGATGCATACGCTAGTTATAAGGTGAATCGGTAGATGAAATTGTGTAGGGAACAGAAAAAACAAGATCTGCACTTGCCTCTCCGTACACATTCTATTTCAAAAATTCAGTTTAAAAACATAACTTCAAATACTCCATAATCCTTTATTACTTTGTAATTTATTTTTTCCTTTCATCCTCTTCATCTTCTTCCTTTAAGTATTAATAGATTAGTTTAATATAAGTCGTGCGTGTGGCACGGGCCGGGCGTGCGCCGGTCCAATTAGTTCATACACTGTAACAGTCGTATTCTTTACAATATTCGTACGTAAGTCTTGTAGCAGAGACAAAAGCGCAGGTGCCCTAATCGCACTCTTTTTTTCTTTTTTTTTTTTTAATGCTCCTTTGAACCTTTGATGCCACCAATGATCATGACTTATGAATCGCGTGTTCGAGAACGTAGTTCTTTTAAAAATTTAATCCTTAACAACCCAATCTTTGTGTTTCATATACAATATACAAAAGAAAAAAAAAATGAAAAACATCCATGATAGAGAATGGAAAATATATTTGGGGGTAGCGACCAATTATTAATTTCAATTAGAATTTTCTGAATGCACATTCAGTGAGAGCACCAAAGGTTACTCAAGTCCAATAGCAGAATATAAATTTTATTTTCTGATCCTCCAAATCTCGTCAGACGCACTGGTGCACTGAGTACTCACTATTTCTGAAACCCATGCATGAGATCGGTTTAAGTCCCGAGCAGTTAAGTGTATAAAATGGTTTGCAGGACACCTGTACTACGTATGTAATACAACGCACAAGGTGCGCTTCTGTTCCACTGAGTCAGGCACGCCTGGCTTCTGAACATTAATACACATTGTCGCTGCTGGTTAAATCAGATTCTCCATGTACAAATCACGCACTATGACCCCAGCAATTCGTGTCACTCAACGAAACAACGTTTAATGACACAACGACTTATATCGTATCGTAGAACATCGATAATAAATGGCATTTTGCGTGGGATGTTCATGTTGAATCTACCTAGATTTAATACAGATCCACGTGCGATCTTTTCGTCAATTGAAATTTGAGTATCTCCGTTCGATAAAACGGAGAATTAAAGAACTAGGTAGTTCGATTGATTCATATCCCAATAGCGTTGCTTATTATTTATAAACATTGTATAACCACCAAACAAATCATTACCTATTAGTCTTACATTTATGCCTTATTCTCAAGGAAATCTTTTATAGTTTTGTACTCGCATAAAAGTAACAACTTTCAGCTAAGAGCTTCGTTTCTTCCTTTTCTTTTTTATATTTCGTGTGAAATTTTATAACTTCTGAGTATGTATCAAGTTGATATATTATGCGATTTTTTATTTATTTATTTATTTTTCTATTAAATGCTCAAGTTATTAAGTAAAGCGTATCCACGAATTTTCATTTTGCGACTTACAAAGAAAAGATTCATATAGTACTTTACATGAAAATATCATTTTTTTTTTTAGTATGCGATGTAAAAAACAAGATCCACCGGAATTAGTCACCAGCAACGACCAGAGTATAACTAGCTTTTTACAGTACAAAATACAGCTCCTGCGCATATGTATCTATATATGTATATACATTTTTAGACACACACATATATATATACACACACATGTATCTAGTAACGAAGTACTTCACCACATGTAAGGATATTATAAGGTTAATACAGTAATTTTTTTTCTATATGAGATCATAGTGATCATTTGGAAATACGAACACGGTGATTTTTTTTATTATTAATATTTTCGTAATAATGTATATAAAATGCCTGAACTTTTAATGAATTTTGCAATTGTATATATATATATATATAGCATATATATATAAACATAATTGCATATATATACATAAAAAGCGTAGTAATCTTCGATGGCCATACTGATTTTTTAATTACAATCTTACACAAATAGTCTTTGTTCTGCTTCTCTTGGTAGATTTTAAAACATGATGGTCCAGCACTATTGTATATTTATGAATTTGTAAACTTTGCATGTTCTACAACCATGTTTGTAGTTTTATTAAAGCAGATATTATTAAAAAATAATCGTTCTGCGAACCTCGTTACATCCTTACACGTTAAAAATTGGCGTTACTAAACCTTATTTTTATGCATTCGGGGCCAGCATGTTTACATATTTCCTTTCCTTTCCCATTACTTTTGAAATTTAACGTGATTCAGCTAGAGAGTTTGAGAGGGAGGACCGAATACAAGATGCGTGGATGTGAGAAAGGAATACGACTTTAATTTATCCATCATTCTCAGTCATAACATCCCTTTCTTACATTGTAAAGTCCTTCAGTCATTTCATAAAATTTCCATATCAATGTACCAAGGAAGATAAGACAGTCTATTAGACTGATCAATGTCACTCAGCTTTAAGATGGTCCTTGTGAACTTCATTAATGCTTTCGAAATCCATACATCTTGCATTACGAAATAATTCACGTACAAGATAGTTTGAAGGTCAAGGGACAGAGGATTTATGTCGCTACTCTAATTCAATTGAATGTTTATAATATTACATCGTATAGTGTGTGTGTGGTGTGTGTGTATGTGTATTCGTGTAAATGTCAGATGTGTTTATGTGTGAATGTACTTTGTGCGCGCGCGGATGTGTGGTGTAGTGTAACAGCAATAAAAACTTAAAGACATTATAAGAAAATCCATGTGAAAGAGAACAACGGTGGGCACGGGGAAGGAGATTTGGGAGAGGGAGGAGAACTCCGGGAGTTGGGCATGGAGAGATGAAAATTCGAACGGCAATAACGAACACGCTTTTGCGATAACACGTGTCGTCGTTGAGAGAAACGTCCGCACATCCCTACCTAGCTACAATCCCCGGTAGTGGCGCGCACGATGGTAAACGGCTTATCATTATTATTAAGCGAGCGGCACGGATTTGGGTTATCTCCTACTTCCTCTCCTCCTCGCATTCACGGCTTATGTGCCCCGTCTTGCCACAAATGTAGCAAATTTTACCTCCTGCTTCGGTGCAATTACGAGCAATGTGTCCTGTCTTGTTGCAGTTGTAGCAACTTTGCATAGCAAAACGGGCAGTATCGTTTACACCCTCTGGGCAGCTACGAGCAATGTGTCCAGTTTTGTTGCAGTTATAGCAGCTCATTTCAGGTCCCTGACAAAAAAGACAATAAATGCTTCAATTTTCTTCTTGCCGATCGCTAACTACTTTAATACGTATTGATACGTATACTAACTTGTTGGCAATCCTTAGCAATGTGACCAACTCCATTGCAACGATAACAAAGGTCCTGATCTTCTTTGCATTCGCGTGCGAAATGTCCAAATTGGTTGCATTTAAAACATTTATCACGTCCACGTCCAAATCCACCTTCTCTATCACGGCCACGGTCTCCTCTGCCACCACCTCCGCCACCTTGTGTGCACTCTCGTGCAAAGTGACCCATTCGGTTACATTTATAGCAAGCGTTCGAACTCATTGTTTATGGATCTGCAATAATGTATATTATAATGAACCTCGTGTAATAAATTTATCCGAAAACTTGTCCAAATGATACCATATTACGAGGACATTAGAATTACTTTTCTACATATTATCTATTATATGGTTCATAATTCGTGCGAAACAAAATATTACATTTTTCAAAGTGCCAGATAATAAAATGGAACATTTGGAAACTACAAAATATACCGACGATTCCTCTGGCATAAAATATCAAGAAATTTTAATTATATTATTTTCATATATAGAGTAGCCACTACTTCGATTACGTCGGCATAGATATGCATCATAAGGTAGATTCACGAAAGCGCGGTTACGCGCATCTATGGCATGCATTCCGTTTGGAGAAAATATTTCTTTTCGAACGATTTGGAAATTTCAACTGGTTAAGAAAAAAAAACTGGGAAAGGAATAAATGTGTCGTAACGTTTGTAGAGTCTTGCGTATAAGACGGGAAAACCATGGATATGTCAGAGTACACGAAACCGCTCGCCATTGCAAAGACCGTCCATCATCATTATCGAACATTCGTATCCGATCAACGACCTTTAATCAACGATGTTGCAAAAAATAGTCAAAAGACCATTAAAACGTATACGATCATTTAAAAAATAATATTAATATGTTAAACTCAAAGATAAAACACAACGCACGTGTTTCGCAGAGCGAACCCAGTACGGGACATCACACCGATTGCCATGTAGCCGGCGGTAAACCAAGGAAGGGAAGAGATGAGAGGAGAAGAGGAGTGGTGACGAGAGCGAGAGAGAGGGAATGGGAGGAAGAGGAGAAGAAGAAGACGAAAGAGAAAGAGAAAGAGAGAGAGAGAGAGAGAGAGAGAGAGAAACGAGCCAACATATTATACTAAGAAAATTTCGTCTGGCCATGTATTAATCGGCACGACCGTAAAAACAAAAAAATGAAAAAGCTAAAAAATATAAGCGAAAAATGATAGTTAGTCGTACAACGTGGCTTTAGCCCCCACTCGATAGAGCGGTAGTACGCCACGGCGCGAAGATGGCATCCGAGAGTGACGCCGCACTGCACTTTTTTTGCCTTGCCAAAGGAGAACTCGAGGAAGTAATCTGAGACTCACGAAAGTTACGATTAATATATTAATGATATTAGTAGATTTGAAAATGGATTTACCGTTTAAACTATCGTCTTCGGATAAGCCACGCTCTTCGGCAAAAGGAACTTCTAGCGCGGTGCAAAGAAACCGAAAGATAGGACCACGTGCGGAGCCGTACGCCGTAAAAGAAATTCTTCCAGATCTATCTCCCCCCTCGCGGTTTTATAGATCGCGGCTTTTCCTTCGGTTAAACCAAATATTTCGACTCACCTTTTATAATTCAACGTTATGAAGTAAATGATAAGAATCCTTTCCCCTCTCCAGCTTCGCCAATGCAGTCGCTGTACAATGGAAGTTCTGGGTAGTACTTTCTCGTAAAAACTTGAACCGAATACTCCAACGAACAGCTACGGCGACCATTGACTACGAGAAGGAAGACCGGCCAATCGCCGTTGCGCTGCCCGCCAAACTCTCCCGTTACGACAATGAACGCTGCCTCCCCCCTCCTGCTCCATCCTCCACCAATCCCCACCTTGACCGATCAGTCTTCCGTAATCTACTACGTGCTGGGTGCAGCGCTTCATTTCCTCAACTTCCTTTTCATGTTATTACCGAAACTAACTGAAAAATTAGAAATTTATTAAATATTATATTATATGAGAATTTTCTTTATTCTTGAGAATTTAATTTGATCATTCTATATCGATAATAATCTGTCGAAAACCATCGTTATTATGATCGTCATTGATTGTCATTGGTTGAAAAACAATATGGTTATTTCGTGAATCTATTTTGACCAATCGTCGATACTCTCGAAACTACTCTCGAATTGATTGTCGTTGCGAGTCTATTTCATGAAAATTTTCACAATATTTCATTTTGAATAAATAGATTTATGTAAAATACTGTGTTAGAAACCGCAGAAAACAAATTAGATCCTTCTAATCTGTTTATAAGGTTTTTATAATTGTTTTATCAACGTACGTAGTCGTGCATAATTTTGATGCATTTTGGTTCACCGTCATGTAATGGTGGACATGTAGAAAATATCTGTCGCATGGTGAAATATCGCATCTAGGAATCGTCCCATCGATCGCCTTTGTGAAGTTATGCGACGTATAAAACTTGATAGTTAAGATATTTTCCGCGTGCACGTTGGTAGCGCTGTTTGTTGCTATTTAAACTGACGGAATTTTTATAAAGGATAAGTTTTTTATTTTCGATAATGTCTGATGAAAAAAGAAAACAGGATGAAGATGATAATGATGATGATGGTGCTAATCATTCATCTTCGGAAATGCCATTAAAAAAAAAGCAAAAAGGTTCGTTTATACATAACCTGTTTGTTTATATTAAATTTTCTATACCTAATAAATAAAAATATGAATTATTATTTTTGCAGTCTTAGAGTATGAGCAAGTATATTTAAGTAATTTGCCATGCTGTGAATGTTATGAAAAATCTTATATGCACAGAGATGTAATAACTCATATTGTGGTAACAAAGTTAGTGTTTTTTATAATGAGAAAAATTTAATTACCCCCCCCCCCCACACACACAGATGTAAAAATAAATAGTTTTCTCTTTTGCTATTACAGGTCATATTTTATACTTACTGCTAGTTGCGATGGACATTTAAAGTTTTGGAAAAAACAAGAAGAATTGATAGAATTTGTAAAACACTTTAGAGCTCATTTGAAGGCAATACAATATTTGGCAGCAAGTTCCAATGGCATACATGCGTGTACAGTTAGTTTGGATAAAACTATGAAAATATTTGATATAATTAATTTTGGTAGGTATATTTTTTTGCTAATAAAATACAAATCTAATTTTCAAAAAAATTTTCTTGCATTATATAATACAAATATTGCATTTACAGATATGATTAATATGATAAAATTAGAGTTTGTACCTCTTTGTGCCGAGTGGATATATTCTGCTGGTGATGCGATTGCTGTGGTTGCTGTATCTTCGCAAGATTCAAATAAAATATATATATATGATGCTCAAGGAACTAGTACACAATTGCATGTTTTTGACAAGTTGCACACAAAACCTGTTGTTTCCATGAAGGTATAACTTATTATTTTAGTTGATTTTAAAATACCATGTGGATAGAAATGTTATTTCATTTATGTATCTTAAACTTTATTATAGTATAATACCGTCTATGAGACATGTATATCAGTTGATAAGACGGGCATACTGGAATATTGGACAGGACCTAAAACGGAGTATAAATTTCCAAAATGTGTGAAATTTGATTCAAAATTAGACACAGATTTATATGAATTTGCTAAAAATAAAACTTATCCGTGTGGTTTGGCAGTATCTGCCGATGGTAAAAGATTTGCATCTCTTAGCGGAGATAGAAAAGTAAGAGTTTTTAATTTTCTTACTGGTAAATTGTACAGAATATTCGATGAAAGTCTTCAAAGATTTTCTGAATTGCAACAAAATACGCAACAATTACCAAATATGGAATTTGGACGAAGGTATTATATAATACTAATATATAATTTGAGGCATCTCATTTGATTACCTCGAATAACTTCTACATTAAACTTTTTTCAGAATGGCTGTTGAAAGAGAGTTAGATAAAACCGAAACAAACATAGGAAATATAGTTTTCGACGAATCTGGCTATTTGATATTATATAGTACAATGTTAGGTGTTAAACTTGTAAATCTTTATACGAACAAGTGTATTAAAATAATGGGGAAACCTGAAAATATACGTCCTATGCAATTAGCTTTATTTCAGGTATAGCTTTTCTTCAATGATGTTTTTCTTTTAATTTCCTATTTATTTTTATGCTTATTTATATATTTATGTTTAGGGTAAAGCTAGAAAAACTGCAGCAGCAGTATCAGTAGAAATGGAAGCTGCTGAAAATCCTACGATGGAAATGAATCGACCCGATCCAATTCTTTTCTGTACAGCTCATAAAAAAAATAGATTTTATATGTTTACAAGACGTGAGCCAGAGGATATAAAGAGTCCAGAATGTGATAGAGACGTCTTCAATGAAAAGCCTTCTAAGGAAGATATTATATCTTTTACTGAAGCAAGCAATGTGCAAAAAATTTATGACACGGCAATTATACATACTGCGCTTGGCGATATCCATGCAAATCTCTTTGGTAAAGATGTACCGAAGACAGTTGAAAATTTCTGTGTTCATTCTAAAAATGGTTATTACAATGGACATATATTCCATCGAGTAATCAAGGGTTTTATGATACAAACTGGAGATCCCACTGGAACTGGAACGGGTGGTGAAAGTATATGGGGTGGTGAATTTGAAGATGAGTTTAGATCCCATTTAAAACATGACAGACCATATACTTTGAGTATGGCAAATGCAGGCTCAAATACAAATGGAAGTCAATTCTTTATTACTTTGACACCTACAGTAAGTTTTTTACTCGGACGTCATTCAATCACCTTTAATATTTTTATTAACCTTGCCATTATTTAACATTTCAGCCTTGGTTAGATAATAAGCATACTGTATTTGGAAGGGTTGTCAAAGGAATGGAAGTAGTACAAAATATTAGTCAAGTAAAAACAAATCCTAAGACCGATAAGCCTTATGACGATATTCGTATTGTCAGTATTACTGTTAAATAATTTCATATCAAATAAATATTTATTTACATATGTCATTATTTTCTTTATGATCTTTTTATATTGATGGATGATGATAACTTTCCGAATCTTACCGATTTCATTATATCATTTTTCTGTTATGCTCCATACGATACAACATTCTTCTTCCAAAAAGGTATGTACTTGTAACACTTGTGAAAGCGTTTACACTAAACAAGTTATAGTTTTTTGGTTTAATTACCAGCGAATATCTGCTTTGATTCATGAAATTCAAATGCATAAGAAATTAATAATAATAAAATATGTAGTAATGATGTAATATGCTAATAAGACCTTGACCATATCGCGCCTGTTAACATAAGACTGGCGGTTTGACTAAGGGAAATCGTTTCTGCGGGACGATTAATATCTCCTATGTTTGCGATTACTAAACCCCATTTAAAGATTGGAGCCCAAAAAAATACTGTTGTAGGTCCTGCAAAGAGACGGACAATGTAATTAATAATTACAAAAAATTTCACCTATGTTACCTGCAGGATGTAAAAACATAAAACGAAATTTTGCAGGCAGATACGATGCGATTTGTAACATGATTCGTTTGTAAGCAGTTGATTTATCGGTCATAGGCATATTGTACGGCTAGTTATACATATAACAACACAGTGTAAATACACTCGAAATATTTTATTTATTGATCGAGAAAGAAAGATATAAAAATAAAGCGTATAATTTTTACAATCAAGAAAAGTAACGTAAACCAATAAAAATGTCTATAATCGATCTATGAAACAATGCTGTCATTTTTTACCGACGCATCGATTATCGATTTTTCTATAGCTTTCGATTCATTTAAATTTCATCGATGTTTATAATTTAGACTTCTATTATCGTAAATTCAAGTATAAAAGGTTCCAAAATATTAATCATTCACAATAGTATTAAAATGAGTTGCAATATTAAAGAAGAGATGACGCCATGTTGGAACGATATGGAAGAATTGAAGTATCTCATTTGCGCTATCGATTGTTGGTAATGCCTTACAGAATATCTAAATATAGAAACATATATTTTTTGACGTTATAATAATCAATTATTTAATGTCGATTCGAGTTGACCGTTGAAAATATGACTTTGTAGCAAATGTCCAACCGTGGCACCACAGCCGATATGTCGTGTAATATTGCCGCCTAGAATTCAAGAGATCGGCTGTTTCATTCCATCTCAGAGACCTGTTTGTTGTCCGTCACCGCCATGCTGTTTGCCTTTATTACCAGGACCCTGCTGTCCTCGTCCTTTACCACCTCCTATGTGCCCATTACCAGTGCCACTTCCGCCGCCGCCGCCGCTAAGACCTGCCTGTCTACCTTGCTGCCCATTACCATGTTATCCCCGTACTTGCTGATTTTTGAAAATACGATTGAACAGACAAAAAGACAAGCGGAAAGAAATAGAAGAAAAAAAGGAAAAAACGGTTAGACATTCTTTCTCATTCGATAGAGACGTTATCTAAAAAAGATTTTCCGATAATTATATGCCAGAAATATTCAAATGAAACTCTCGGAATCCGTTCAGAGAAATTGACGAAAGTAAAAGAAGAATTTATGCGCTACTTTTGGACCGAATCCAATAATCGTTTTTCTTATATGTATTTTATTTATATACATCCATCGTGTGTATTCACTGTATAGAGTTATTAAAAAGAAGCTATAACAAAGCTGGAAGTTTAAATTTTCGTGTTTCAATTAAAATAAACATGCTTCGTCTGTAGAAAGAGAAAAAGTACAGGTTAATTGGGAAGAGACATTTATATTTTATTGTAGCCCAGTCAAAAAAAGGCCAACTACCAGATTTTCTGATAATTGTGAAAAAACTTGATATAATAGTAATTCGACGACGCTGAATCGAATGGTGCTAATTTTTTTGCAATTGGATCACGAAATCTTTGAGAAAAAGGGTAAAAAATGGCCATATCTTAGAATCTAGGCATTTAAACGAAAAAAGTTTCAAACAAAAGTTGTAGACAATTGAAAAATACATAAAAAATGTTCTGAGGTTTATCTTCGTATTTSCAAAAATAAGCAAGAAAATAAAGGTGAAAGGTAATTGTAAGAGTGGGKGCAAGCCCCGCCTCTTCGTCGGTCTTTACACGCGAGCGAGCTAGTGTGCGTTATCTTGTGGTCTCTCGGTCGTGTATTCGAGTGCGAATGAGACAAGAAACCAATATTTCTCTCTTTCTATTTTTTCCTTCCGTAGCGAGAATTTTTCGTTTTGACGATCGAGTGTCGAGCGTTCTGTTTATCTATATATATATCGGCGTATAAGCACGGCATTTTTAAATCGAATCTTGATGCTTATGGCACGCCGTTTTTTTATTTATTGTAAGTAGTATCGTCTCTGTTGCACGCGCCGGTTATAAATGTTCGATTCTTCGTGGAGGAATTTTTTTTTTTATAAATTTTTCTATCCCCTTAAGTTATACAAATTCTTTTCACATTTCTTAATTCGAATTATATACAGGAAAGAAAATTAAAATTATTACAACAAAATTTGGAACAATAAATTGTTTATCATTTTGCGCAAATAAAGGAAGATTTATTACTTGAATTACAGTTAACATTTTATTATTTAATAGGTATATACATTTTATTTTTTAACAATATATAAAATATATACAATATATAAACAATATATAAATAATATATATATATTTTAAGAATATACATATATATATTCTAATCATTGTCAGAAAACTTAAAAGAATTTGCTGCAACGGAAAATTCTGTTTGTACTCACAAAGTTAAAGATACCCGACAAAGGGTTGTAAAAAATATTGAGAATATATTTGTTCAGTATCACGGTTTTTCTTCTACAAACATCAGAAGGTTATTGATAACTATTTGGCAACCGTGTTCGGTATCCTATCATAAGTCCTAGAACTTGGAGAGTGTTGCAATTGGTCAAGCTCCCCTACTCCACACAAACATCGTCTTCAAATACGAATTTCGGTGGATCCATGATGATCGATGCATCGTACTGTTGCAGTTGATAATATGACACGCAGAAGCCTAATTTATTAAGAATATCGATAATCAACTTTGATCCGCATTTGCGGTGAATGTAAACATCGTATGAAAGCTACAATAGAATGGGCTATTATACTTCGTTGCACGAAATATCGCTCTTCATCGACGTCGACATTTTCTAGTGAATTCGGTGCAATAAGTCGATCAATAAGTACACGAAGAAGTGGAGGAATGTCTCGTTGAATTGAATGAAGAAATTTTCCAGATGGCTGATAAGAATCGTTCTTATAATCGTGATTCTCGATATTTTTTCGGACGAGCTGTGCTGCTTTTTTTTCGAAAACAGTATGTAACATTTTGTATGATATCGTGCGCCGACAGCAACTACAGAATTGACGTCTTTCAATCGAAGTTGCACATCGATGCTCATGTCATCGTTTCGCTGTTCAGCTATATTGAGAAACCTTTCCTTCATATAGTCGTTCTGTATCATGGAGCATTGCTTGTTGTTTCCTTTCCATGGCTGTGCACATATTAAGCACAAGTCACGGAAATTGAATTCATTTTCCGTGAGCGCCGATTCAGAAAGCCGACGTACTTGGTGTTTCAGCAGAAAATGTCGATGAAGCTTTCAGTTTTGCAACTTTTGCGACCACACTTTTGATTGTTGCCCTTGCGTACCTTTGGCGGCACGCGCTATGCATGAGAACCAAGGTACGATTGCTTCAAATCTCCCATTTTCCATCACCAAGTTCTTTGCTTTTCGCTAATAACGACCTCAGACCTTTTTCTTTAACCGGAACGACTTGCAACGAAGCACACACCAGTGCTTCATCGCATATGTTGCATACCTGGTAAACTAAAATTAAGACGAAGTGATCTTCCCTAGCCACTTATAAGGCGTGTCCCAAAAAGAGCGTCGGTGTGACCTTACAGTAGAGGTGGTTCACCAATTGCAACACTCTCCAAGTTCTAGGACTTATGATAGGATACCGAACACGGTTGCCAAATAGTTATCAATAACCTTTTGATGTTTGTAGAAGAAAAACCGTGATACTGAACAAATATATTCTCAATATTTTTTACAACCCTTTGTCGGGTATCTTTAACTTTGTGAGTACAAACAGAATTTTCCGTTGCAGCAAATTCTTTTAAGTTTTCTGACAATGATTAGAATATATATATGTATATTCTTAAAATATATATATATTATTTATATATTGTTTATATATTGTATATATTTTATATATTGTTAAAAAATAAAATGTATATACCTATTAAATAATAAAATGTTAACTGTAATTCAAGTAATAAATCTTCCTTTATTTGCGCAAAATGATAAACAATTTATTGTTCCAAATTTTGTTGTAATAATTTTAATTTTCTTTCCTGTATATAATTCGAATTAAGAAATGTGAAAAGAATTTGTATAACTTAAGGGGATAGAAAAATTTATAAAAAAAAAAATTCCTCCACGAAGAATCGAACATTTATAACCGGCGCGTGCAACAGAGACGATACTACTTACAATAAATAAAAAAACGGCGTGCCATAAGCATCAAGATTCGATTTAAAAATGCCGTGCTTATACGCCGATATATATATAGATAAACAGAACGCTCGACACTCGATCGTCAAAACGAAAAATTCTCGCTACGGAAGGAAAAAATAGAAAGAGAGAAATATTGGTTTCTTGTCTCATTCGCACTCGAATACACGACCGAGAGACCACAAGATAACGCACACTAGCTCGCTCGCGTGTAAAGACCGACGAAGAGGCGGGGCTTGCMCCCACTCTTACAATTACCTTTCACCTTTATTTTCTTGCTTATTTTTGSAAATACGAAGATAAACCTCAGAACATTTTTTATGTATTTTTCAATTGTCTACAACTTTTGTTTGAAACTTTTTTCGTTTAAATGCCTAGATTCTAAGATATGGCCATTTTTTACCCTTTTTCTCAAAGATTTCGTGATCCAATTGCAAAAAAATTAGCACCATTCGATTCAGCGTCGTCGAATTACTATTATATCAAGTTTTTTCACAATTATCAGAAAATCTGGTAGTTGGCCTTTTTTTGACTGTGCTATGATGGGTTTTATGGAAATGTTTTTGATCTTACGATAAGATCATTGATTAGGACTACTACTTTATTGGAAAAGAAAAAGCGTGTGCTTTTGCTAAATTGGATTGAACGAGAATGAACTCGGCATGAAATGAATCGGATCTAATAAAAGAGACTGGTTGCAATTTTAGATCGAGCGCTACTCCGAAGCCGTTCGAATAACAACTAACGACGTGACGAACGACGTGACGAACAACGTGACAACAAATCGTAGCTTAGGTGAGAGTAGTTAACGGGAGGTCAAGTGGTCGCGAGGACAAAAGTCACTTGAAAAATGATGATGTTGCAACCCCCAAAATAAGAACTTTTCGATGCAATGCTTATCAAAAGAGCCTAATCATTTTTGTCTGGTATCAATCTCATACTTGCAGTGATTAATTGTTATTTACAATCCTTTATGCATTTAATCAAATACTGTTTCAGATTTCTAATAATAGTATGGATTATAATAAGCGACGTGTATCGTCAACGTGTTACGCATTTTAAACAGAACGCTTTCCTTAATCAAATTAATCGCGAGAAAATATCTTTTTGAATAATAATAATCTTTGTTCTCTGATTGAAAATTAATATTTATTTATTTATGAATAGTTAACAAAGTATAAGCAAAGCCTTAACGATATTATTTTTTAAAAATATTATATATATATATATATATATATATGTATGTGTATGTTTGTAGATATATAATAAGTACAGATACATTTTTAAAAATTTCTTTGATTCGTTATCTCGAACAATAATAATAATAAAATGATAATTAAAACAATAATAATTATAATAATATTAATAATTATAATAATATTAATAATAATTAGTTTTATTTCGTAGAATTATGTTATATCAATGAGAAGTACGCATCAATATTAATTTGCGTAGTACAATTGATCATGATTCGATTGGTCATGTGAACTTGATACGTATGATTTATGAATAACATAGAACTTTCTAAGGTAAGAGTTGTTGCAAGTGTGTTTGGACCATTTGAAAGTAACATTTTTTTAACGAGATCGCGGGTTCCCTTTGATGGAAAGTGAGAAAAGCGAGTTATCGAGCCATTCTTTTACGCGTGCGCGTGTCGTCACACGCATACAAATGCGCGCGCTTAATAGATACTTCAAAGTAATAATGACTTTGGCAATGAGACATTTTTTTTTTAGCATTAAGACTTTTCTTTCGGTTTTATTATATATTTTTTTGGTCATTTTTTGTTTGATGAAAGTCAAATTGCATTGTCGTTATGAATACGTACTTTGGTCTGTTAATTTCGTTTTACTCATTGAAAGAGAAAGAGGGAGAGGGAGGGAGGGAGGGAGAGAAAAAGAGAGAGAGAGAGAGAGAGAGAGAGAAAAGACAGATTCGATAACATAGAAAGAGATAGATTAGAAACTATTCTTTTCATTTTTTGTTTGCTATGCCTTTGGCACAATTCACTTTTTTGTACAATCTATCCGTTAACATATAATATATTTTCTGTGTCATTTTTTATTCGTTATTATTTTTGGACCGCTTCCTCTGATGTCACGTAAGTTTTGGACAAGATTTTTGTAATATTCAAAGTAATTTTCTATTTTTCGATTTTTAATATGCGATAATCAATAAGATTTAGGATCAATTTTATTTCTTTTTTTTTTTCTTTTTTTTTTTTCTTTTTTTTGTAGTTGGTTATATTTTACGATATCGTCGAAGTATCGACACACCGAATAAAACTTACGATCGGAAATAATTCGATGAGTTATTACGTAACGAACTATCATCTTTCCTTCTCGTTGCTACGGCAATCGACATCGTCGCATCGTTATCGGTAGTCGTATTAAAAATAAATCTAAAATGCGCTTGAGAAATTATACACTTCATCAATTCGCATGAAAATATATACATATATAATAAATAATTATTTATGTATACGAGGTGTCTCGGCCAGTAAATAAAAAAAAATAGGGTCCCGTTTAAAGAAACATCGATTACCTTAAAATCTCATAAATAAATGACTCTAAGAAAAAATTCTATCAACCATTATATTATATTCCCACCCCCTGCAATAGTTTCTTTTATACAATTGTAAACAAAGGAGATATTTAGGCATTTTCATTTTTTGCTGCGACACCCTGTATATTTGTTGTTTTCGATGAGGTACGAGGGAAGCAATATTGCTATTAATCATCACTTGGTGATCGGCCAGATTGATAGATCAATCATGAGAATGTGACCAATCTATAACAAATGATCACGAGAATGTAACCAATCAATACGCAATGATTAATAACCGTATAGCTCACTTTTTATGCAATATATATTCTATTTTAATCGATCCAGGTGAATATTATTGTTATTATTATTAATGTATCAATTATAATTGGTATGAAATAATAATTAAAATTCATTCTCGATATTTCTAACGTCGAGGAACATTGATCGACGTTATTAAAATTGTCATAATATTCACGCAGATCGATGAAAATGTGAAAACATTATTAATTGAATAGATATTATTTTTTCATGCAATTTATACATCGATTTACTGTCTTCGCGGGCATTTAAGATAAAATAAATAAATCCTTAAAGAACAAAAAGATTCTCGCAGCTCTTGGTTTTCCGTTTGAAACCAAGCAAGTGTTTTAAAATTCTTCTACGGTGTTTACTTCTTTTTTGTCTTGTAGTTTGATTTCGATCACGTTGAGGATTTAATTTTATTTGCGCCAGGATACCGACTAGAAGTTCATCGACATGGTGAGCCAATCCCGACGACGTCTCGATGAATTTGCAACCACAGTTGTTTGCCAAGCGTCGCCCGGCTGTTAACGTAAATTCGATATTTCATTTCACCTTTGTCCTAATAAATTATGTTCATCACGTATTTAGAATATATTTAAAATATGTATAATATACAAAATATAATATTTATAAATGTACTAACTAACATATGAGCATTTATATATATTTACGAGTATGTATGTAGGCTGTTAAAAAAGGTTGAAACTGAACTTATACTATGCATTACTAAGGACAAATAGGTATAAAAAGTTTTGGTGATTCTATAATTTTTTAATTGAGAATACAATAGTATTTTATGGAAAATTACTATCTTTTCTTAAGAAGATGAAAATATCTATTATAAGTTTGAAAGTTTTAATTAAGTTTAGTAGGCCTAATATCGCGCAGTTACTGCTAGAATTAACAAGGAAACGTGCGATAAAATCTAAACTAACTTATTTTATAACTTTAAGGATTTCATCTTGGATAATAGTAGCGTCTAGATTGACGTTATAACTTTACCGTGAAAAACTGTTACGTCTTGTTTAGAGAAAACTTTTGAAAAGATAACAATGATTCATATTTATGGTCAATATATTATAAATCCAAAGTTGTATAACGGACATGCAATTTATTTATAACCTTTGAGCATAAATTTCGAAAGTTCATTTACGTGAATGATAATTTCAAAGTTAATGAAAATATATGCGGGTATTTCTCTACGGCAAGTATTAACGTAAGAAGTATGTAAATTGCGTGATGTAGCACGTAGGTTCGATTCTCGATTCTGGAACAATAGTGCATCCTACACTCATCAGACGTTGAAGTTGCTAGTCGTAAATCTAGTTGAAGGGTTTAAAGTTCCTGCGGATTGACTTACCCATAGAGGAGACCTCCCGTTTCCTTTCAAGATCGACTTTGTTCCCAACCAGGATGACACCGTGGCTCGTCATATAGTCACTATTCCATAGATAAAGCAAAGTATCCTCTGCTATCTTCATACTCCTTTGGTCTACCACAGAATAGACGACAACGTAGACATCTGGATTGTAGGTCGAACAAAACGTCTCGACCTCGAATCAATGGAATATCGAATTTCAATCCTAACAGAGATCCAATGAATGTCCGTATTTGATTTAAGTATCGATTATTAATGGTATTTGCTTACCGACATTTCCGAGCTCGGATGATCAATGATTTCCAATTCGGTTTCTTGACCGTCGAGCATAACGGAAACACTTTTTTGGCCGTACTCTTCGTCTATAAGATAATAATTACTTCTAATTATCCGAATGAGCGTTAAAACGTTCAAATTATTTACCTAACGAAGCATCGTATGCGCAAATGTAATCACTGGTCGTAAATTGCGCCGTCAGAGCGGTTTTACCAACCCCAGATGCACCTAGCATGCCAACCTTGTACGTAGCAATGCGTTCGTTGCTCGTTTCCTCCTCTGTTTCGATTCCAGAGAGTTGCGAAGCCGAGCTGGAACAAGAAAAGACACGAGGCTCTTTTTTCAATATTTTCTTTTTTTTTTTTTTTTTCTTGTTTCTTTGCTTTTGAATCTCACCTGAGTAATCGAGCTTCTCTCGTGCTACTGCAACTAGTGCCACAAGAGGTAACACTATTGATACTCTTACTACGACGGCTCTTCAACGAATCGCCGAGATTGAAAACCCCATTCGCTGTAATGGAGAACGATCTTAATCTGTAATATTCGATGGAATCTTCGGTTTCTCCGTCTTCGACACCACCACCGCCAGCACCGCCACCACCGCGTTTCGTTTCTGCCAACATTGGCTGCAAAAATGGAAATGAATTTGGGTATTCAAAAGAATTGCGTGAAGAATATCGTTGAGTGGTCTGTTTGCGTTGCAAATTGCGCGAGTCGTTGTTCCGCGAGGTTTCAAACAATACTACTGGCAAACTTTCAAACGTAGATTAAGGTCATAGCGAATCCCTGATGCGACTAATACTATACGCTAATTCAATTAGATTTCTCTCTCTCTCTCTTTCTCGACGATTAGTCAGCTGATTTTTCTTAACCCTCTATAGTCTCATATGATCTTGCAGTCACCCACCGATATATATTTACTTCTTTTCATTTGACAACTCGTCGAATAAGAAAGAGAGAAAGAGGAAGGAGGGAAATTCGACAGGAATTAATGGTCGCAAGTGATTCAATCTCATTCAAATATTATCGCTTACAAATGTAAATGAGCATTCTTAAATGATTAAATTATATCGTTAAATTATTATTATAGCTATCCCTTTGGAGTCGAGAAGATTTGGAAGTTGGAAGTTTATAAAACGATTATTGATCGATTTAATCGAAAATCGAATTTTTATTTCAGTCGATGTCTCCTCGATCGCGACTCGTTTCTTTCTATAAGAAAATTCGCGGGGACGAATGTCGTCGGTTTTCGGTGATTTGTCATTAGTGTCTTCAAGATAGTGGAAAATTCTTATGAAAAGAGATTTTTGTGAGTCATTTAAAAGGTTTGGCAAGAAAAGCCGGCGATGTTACTCTTTACGAACGCAAAGGTCCTCCTCCTATCGTTCGTTCGATCTCGATCCAATCAATTCAAAATTACGATCACAACGACGAGAAAGTCAACGTGATCGTTTACGTCGGCCAAAATTAGACCGATAACTTTTCTAATCTATCTATCTAATTCTTAGAATAACACTTTTCTCATTTTTATTTGCCATCAAAGTTGTTATTTTTGTCGTCATCCTTTGATCCTTTGATCATTCTAATCATCATCGGCATGGAAGTACCTAATTTCTCGGATCTAGGTAAAAGTGCACGAGATGTCTTCAAGACAGGTTATTACTATGGCAAAGGTCTTTTTAAATTAAACGTCAAGTCTAAGAAAACTGGTATATTCGAAATGACCAGTGACTTGTTTATAAATGCCGATACTTTGAAGGTATGATAAATAACGTGAACTATTTTATTTTCTTTCGAACGTATCATTTATACTCATTAATTTGTTTAATGTATCTTCGATCCTAGAATATCACATTTATTGTTATATAAGTACTAGCTTTCATATTTTTCCAACTTTCTTGATTTTTATTCATTATTGATGTTTGATCTTGGAAATATAGATTGTTTAATAAAACATAAGAACAATTTCAGGAATGCCATTGGGGATATAAAAATAGTTATGAACTAAGTTTACGTTGACTTCTTTTTCATATGGACGAATAGTTGAACGGTCTCTTGGAAACTAAATACAATACTGAAAACTATGGAAATATCGTGCAAAAATGGACATCCGACGGAACGGCTTTTTTAGGCTGTGAAATGACTGGGAAACTTCTCGATGGTCTTACCCTGTTATCCGAGTTCTTTTACAATCCGCAAACTACATTTAAGGGCATGAAACTCGACACGAAGTACATCAACGATAGGGTCAATGGAATTTGCACGTTAGGTTGGTATTCTTTTCTTCTTTCTCTCTTTTGTAGAAAATTTGTACGAAAACGCATAAAATGTTGCCAAGGCAAAATACATGAGAGACTTAATTCGTTGACGCATTAATTTCTCGTAACGGGTGATTATTTTCTTTTCTTTTTTTTTTTTTTCTAATTAAATTATATTCTCATCAATGTGTAGATGTGTACTGTTCTATTGTCCGTTCCAAATCCAATAATTTTGCCGATGAGAAATATCCAACAATAAAATATTCTTTACGAACAAATTTTATTGATATTCTATACCACCTTCTCTTTCATAAAAATGTTGGCGAACTCTATTACAGTACGAAATAATATTTCTATTATTTGATTATAACTCCGGAGATAAGAGAGAGTTTTATATTAAAACGTACCGTCACAGAATTCAATCATATTTCTATATGATTTCTATATTCTAAAGGCGTTAGAAGAGTGAAAGAAAAAAAGAAACTTTATTGTTCGCGAGGAAACTTGATTATTTAAGTTCGTACATTTGATTTACGATAAACACGTGCCACTTATTCGCGAACAATTGTCGTTAACGTTTAAGTCTCTCTTGCAAATGTACGTTTGAAAACAAATTTATCCGTAATTTGAGTTATCTTGTAAATAAAATCTTTTTTTCACAGCCAACGAAAACTTCGATTCAAACTTAAATGTTTACGGTGCAATAGTCGTGAGGTTTAAAGAGCTCTTCGTGGGTTACCAATGTGGTTATAAAACAGCTACCAAAGAGCTTACGAAGAACGATTTAGGATTCGCTTTTGGATACCGAGACTTAGCCTTCCATTTGAGATGCACTTTGATACCACACGAGTTTGGTTGTTCTGTCTTGTATAAAGGTTCATTATTTTTCTATTATTTTCTGTCAGCGTTTTTTTCAACTTATGTTTTGCGATTCGATTAATTCATTTGCGACAAATTTCCGACAAATTTTCGTAGAATGCTTTTGCGAGAAGAGAATACTGTAATAACAGCCGTATTTTTGAAATAACATAATGTAATTCTGCTCATAAATATTACATTATTATATAAACATTTAGACAGGGTGGTACCATTGCAAACAAATGTATTTATTGGATCGCATGGCAAAAAGTTTGAGAAACGCTATTCCGTATTTTGATGTTTTTCGTTAACGAAGACAGCTCGTTATCCCTTTTTTTATAAAATAAATGAATCGTTTAACTGTTTTAATTACTTTGGTAATTAAAGTATTTGATACCTTGAAAATAATATTAAACGATTACAAATTTTTGTTACTTGAGAAAAGATTTTTGAATTTATAAGATTGAAAGCATTATTCGCGAATAAAGTGAAGTAAACATTATTCCGTGAACGTTTCTCAGTAATGTTTAGAATTTACAGAGCTGTCAGAACAAGACAATTTATTTTCGCGAATGTAACAGGAAGAGCTTAAAGCTTTAAACTACTAATTGAATTTTTCCGTGTACCTTTTCACTTCGCTATGAACATTTAACAATCGGGAGAAAATGGGAGCATTTTCGTTGCCTTAAACAATAGCAATGCTTTTTACGTTACAACTACCGAGCAAAGTGGCCATTAGAATACGTAATGAATTCGTTTTCTATTTTCCGACTGAAGAAAATAAAAATAATTGTCGAAAAAAACTCTCATCTGGCCTAAAAATGAGTGATAAATAATTATATAATTATACAAAATAAATCTCTCTAAATTTCTTCAAAATGTATATATTCATAATTATCTATCTCTATGTTTTGGTTATACGCAATATAATCTAAAAATGACTAATACATAAATAAATTTGATTAAGATCACACACGATATCGTTTATTGTTTTTTACATTCCGTTTATTTTTTTATTTTTTCTTCTAAAGTTAATTCAGATTGGGATATCGCATTGAATGGAATATCGGCGAAAAGCGGAAGATTGCACAAATGGATGGTTGGGGTAGCAGCGAAATACAAATTAGACGAAGATTCGATTCTACGGTTCAAGATGAACAACGCTATGCAATTGGGTACGAGCTTGCAACTGAAGTTGAACGAGAATGCGACGGTCTCCTTTTCCTTTTGCTTCGATTGTACGAATATTAACAGAGGAAATCACAAAGTTGGCATGGGATACTACATAGAAGCTTGAAGATGAGAACATTATTCGAAATATTTGAGATATGATTTCATTTTTATAGTCACGATCAATCGTCATAACTTTTTGATAAAACGAGTCCAACGAACTTTAGAATTTTCGCATCATTTTTTGTCGCGCAATAACAACGTATTTATTTGTAATGATACAATAATATTTTGTTGTAATTAATAAAACACGAATTGAACGCGTTTTCAAGCGACGTTGTCTACTATGAGAAATCATTTGTTAATATCAAAATTTATTCGCTATGATGCTCATGATTATTGTTATATTTTAGCTGTTTCTGCATCGATTAATAAAGAACGATAATATGAAAAGCGATTTGCTTTCTCGTTCGTAATGTTTTCTGATAATAATAAATAAAAAAAAAACGTCATCGTTGTATTTATTTATTTTCACATTTTTGTAAGATTTTAAACGTGGTGGGACTTTATCCGATCTATTTTTATATTGTTCCTTTCATTTTTTTAAATGAGCATAAAATTAAAAGTAAAAGAGATCCAAGAGATTCGAATAATAAATAATTTTTATTATTATTAATAATTTATCCCCATTACAGTAGTTTAAAAAACATAACTTATTTAAACAAAACTTGAATATATTGCTTTGCGATAAAAGTAGGACTTCATGGTTTATCGGTACTCTTTATTTGCGAGCTTCGCCAATGAGAAATGTTTAAACGCTCCAGTAACAGCTAATCCATTTATAATATGTGTTTAAAAAAGTCTGCATTTAAATATAGGAGCTTAAAAGGTTTACCTTTGATAGATGATTTTCGTGAAGAAAATAATCGATGAAGTAACGAGTGATATCTACTTTCAGGAACGATATAAAAAAAAGATAAGAAAAACAAAGAAGTGATTACATTAATCGGATTAGATTTGTATAGCTCTCTGAGAACGATAAGAATGAAAAATTGTTCGAGTTGCTTAATATAGGATTTATTTAACACTTACCCTATGTCGTGGTACTGCTGGCATACTACTTGTTCTACCACGATATTGCCTTGGCATAGATACACGAGATCCTGTTCCTTGTCCAACTGAGCCTGCAGGACTGGTAGGACTAGGACCACCAGGACTTGTGCCTGGACTAACGATAAGATGGGAAGATGTAGAAGCTGCTCCAGGACTTACTGCTGCGGTCAAGCTTTGACTTCTCAACGATGGCGAAAGGTGTCCCCAAGGACCTGCTTCCGCCTGTAAAAATCTGAATTACCCAAGTCAGGATCGATTCTTTTATCGTTTTCTATCTCAATTCGATGCGTCGGCATATCGTGTTAGAAAAATATATTTAACAAAAAAGAGAGGAAGAAGAAGAGAAGACTTTCAGGCCGTAAATTTGAAATCGCTTTGCCCGCGCATCGTAAATGTCGACAACTTCGTGGTGTCGATTTTTCGGTCGCATCTAAATTCACTCTCATCACTTTTTCCAAAACGTGCTGTTTTGTTTTCAATATGTTTGAAATATTGGACAGAAAAAATGTACCGTTGTATAATATGATCAAAGTTACTTATAAATAACGATCGCATATCGAAATATGTGTTGAAAAATCTCTCGATTATCGTGGAAACAATGAAATTTTGCAATTTTGATTAAACGAATTGTAGTGAAATATTTTGTCGACATTTTTGAAAAGTACCTGTGTAAATCGGGTGTAGGTCTGGCAACGGCTATACTAGAACTTCTTCGTCGAGTGGGCGTTGGCGATTTTGGTCCATCTAATATTCCATGTCCTTGAGCACTGGACAAGGAGCTACGGTGAAATTGTACCTCAATTTCGCTACTTCGCCTTTGGAAAGCCCTTTTGTTCCACTTTCTGCCCTTTGTATCGGTTCCGGAACCCTCTTGCTTCCTGAAATGCCGAAGATAAAACGATGCTTCACATTCCCCTCTTTGGAAATCAACGATGTTCTCCTATTCTCGTTAGGAGGGAACGATTCCCACGTGCAATCATACTGATAAAATAGATTCTTCGGGGCGTGTTCCTTCCTTTCGAGGGATTCTTTCGAGCGATCCTTTCGAGCGATCCTTTCGAGCGAACACTTATTAAATATCGTGTGAATGAGACTCGTTGGATAATTGTT